GCACGCAGTAGCCAACTTGGTCGCCTAGAGAAATGTGTCATGATATAGGTTTATAAAGGACGGTTGGGACTGACATTATCGGGACACCATTCAAGATCGCTCATCCTTCCACCCGGAAGACGTACAACCTCTCGTTTTCCCCTCAGATCCCACACAACCGCACCTAGAGTCAAAGTTCAGTAATAAAATGCGAGCGCTTGTAGTGGAGACGTACCGCTGCCACCAACTCCACCAAGAACATGAGCTACGACGCGATTCCATTTGACAGCTTCAGCGTCAGCCTTACCACTTGTAGGCGCGTAGGGTGCACCAGCAGGCGACGTCACGTCCCAAATGTATACCTACGGCGCAGTTAGAAACGTAGTCATCAAGGAAGCATGCGCGAACAAACCTCGCCAGCTCCGCCTCCAGTAGCCAAGAGATGCTGTTGGATGGGCCCAAATTGAAGGCCCCGCACCGGGCGCGTGTGCGTTGCTAGCAGAGCCGACGTCCTACGGAGGGGTACATATGAGCCCAAGACGAGGGAAACAAGGGAAAGCGCACCCCTCGCCAGCGAGAATTTTGTTGGCATCCCACATCTTCAGCTCGCCGCCTTCCATACCCGCAGCAATGACGCCCGAGGCACCCCATCCGACATTGATGAATCTACCCGCACTGCTCAGCAGCTAAAAACGAGCGCGGAGGCTGGCTGATACACACCTCGCCGATTCCTTGACCGTTCCCCGCGGTTTTGGGCCATCCACCTGTTCGACGACCTCCTCCAACTCCAGCTCCTGCTCCTCCTCCGCGTCAACGGGATTGTCGAAAAAGTCCTCTCCGTTGCCCGACTCCTGGACCTTGTGCTTCTTCACGGCGGCAGCCGGCGCACTCTGCTCATATGTGAGCAAATCCCACAGCTCCAGCCCGCTTTCGGAACCCGTCGCCAGCTGCGTGCCAGGGCCCCATGAAAACGCAGCGGTCCGCGGAATCGTCGTCAGCATAACACAGACTCCAAGGATCCTTCAATATAAAGTTCTATCCAGCTTTAGCGCGAGTGACTGTGTTGTCGTAACATGCAAGGCATACATACCGCTGTAATTTATCTCGCCTTTGAGATCCGCCCCAAGTAATTATCCAAAGCGGATTCGCAACACACCGGAATAAAACGCGAGTCGAAGAGGGAGTTGCAAGACGGGACACGTCGTCCACGACTTGCCTCAACAAAATTTAAAGTCCGACTCCGGCGCTCACGTGGCAAGCGCGCTCCGACTGCCAACGCGTACTTCAGTCTACGCGTCTAAAGAGGCGCGCAGCATAAAATCTGTACATGCACTGACAAATCTCGTCCAGTATTCTTCGGTCTACCAATGGGAAGTCTTGATTGAGTCTGGAGTCAGAACCTGAGCCAAAATCTGGAATAAGTCTTGAGCTCGGCGGTCCACCCATATGAAGACTACCCTACAGTAAGTGGTGACTTTGAGTGAGCCGGCCTAGGTGCTGCAGTAAACCCTAAGGTTTGATACACCTCGGGTTTACACAGGTGGCAAAGTCGCGGCAACTCGATCGAGTTGCCGGACAAGCAACTTCTGTTGCAACTCCTGCTTGCAACTCCGCTTGAAACGTGGGGCATAAGTCCTAAAATTGATCTTACCTAGCTCCCGGCAGGACATAAGGCTTACAGTTTATGTCCTTAATACAGTCCGCGTGCATTTCGGCGTCGTCATTGCCGACACGCAAGAGATTACGTTTCTCGCAGCTCACAGTTCAAGACTCGGGCACACTGGGCGCAGCCTCACCATGACCGCGAATATGATGGTTAAGATCAAGGAGCAGTTCGTGATCCCGAGCACGTACGTGATTCGTCTCTCTTTGCGTACGCCGGACTGATTTTCTTTCATTTCAGGGCAGGTAAAATTTCGAGTCTCCAATGCCGCGTGTCGCTGCTCAATGCTCTCAGTTGTCGTGCGTACTCTACGGATCCCAGTATCGGAGCTTGGATGCACTACGCAATTGCCATGACTTATGATTTGATTACCACCACCGTATCTGTCGTGTTCCTTCTCAGGTTCCGACTCTCCTCTGGGAATAACATGATGTTCGCCCGTGAAAGTACATTGAAGAGTTGTTACGCGGCGAGTCTACGGTTCCAGACGTTTCCCTCACGGGTCCAAGTGAGAGTATCTGTGACGGAGATTGATTAGGAAGAAAGGGCTAGAAGGAAGCACGGCACGAACATAAGTTGAGTTCCTGCAGCGCCTCGTCGGATATGGCGTTGATCTTAGCCCGTTCCTTGGCTATCCAAGTCGCCGTTGAGATCAGCGTGAATTTCTTCAGCTTCTTCATACGTTCCAAATACGCAAACTGGTGCTATCTGGACATTAAAAAAGAGCCTTCGTGAGTAGACTGGACGTACGAAAACCTCCGGGGCGTCGCAGTGGATAGTCAGAGATTCGATGCCTCCAAGCTGGGAGGAGATGTAATCCAGGAGGCTGTCGTATGTCCGTTGTTTTATGCATACAAGATTCTGAAGCCTTTTCGCGACAGCAGACGTCTTCAGAGCAAGTACTACAGTCTCGATTTCTGCAGTGCCACCGGGCCCAAAGTCAAGTGCCGCGCTGCTGGCCGTACGCCAACGCATAAGGCGGAACGATCACATCCCAGGCGGGTGTACCCGTCTCGCATCACATGAATGCGGTCGAGGGATGGGTAGACGTAGAGGCAACTCGAGCATGACATCATGCCACCAATGGCAATGGTTAAAAGATATGTATGCAGCACTTTTATAGCGGAAGGGGTATGAATCGCGAGTCTTGAAACGACGACAAACCTCGACCAGACGCGGAGCGAGGAAATAACAGTTGCTCTCCACAAAGAACAAACAGTCTCCAAAAGGCGAGGACGACGGTTTGGATCCCACAAATCGAATGGGTGGGAATGAACATAGTCTATAAAGATTTCAGAAAGGAGCTCCACTGGGAGCTTGTGGATCCCTATGAGGGCGAATGCATGCATGTACTCTGTCATTTCGTATTCTCCACAAGGTCTAGATAATGGGTAATGGTGTTTCTGTGGACGGGCCCAATATAAGCACGCGCCATGCAGCACAGAGACAGGACATCACCTTAATCGTCAGTACCCGTAATAGATCCTTCACAGACTTGGCGTCATACAGTACTTCCTGAACACGCCCACCCCGCGGGCCAACCATCCCCCATCACATCCACGGCGCCTTCGTTCCAATGCTTCGAGAGTCGGATCCCGAGGACGGCGACACATGATTTCAAAACGGTCTGAAGTGTCCTGTAGGAAGTTCAGCTACGACGAGATCTACCTTGTCGTCATCCTGACAGTTCTCAAACGGGTCCCAGGGACTCTCAGAGTTGAGTGTGGCCTTTATCTGCCCCACCTCCGATTCTGCCGGAAGTCTTCCTGCCAACAAATAGGCGGCGGTCTCCAGAGTCGACTCGTGTGGTGTCACCGTGTCCATCGCACGTCATCAGCGGGTTTGCGGGTGCCGCGCTGTTGAAGCCCAAAATTGAAGGATGAAGAATGATGCCGCCATTACAAGTCCGAATCGTCCTACCGCTGCCCGCCGTCTGCGGGAGTTGTTCGGCCACGCTTGCCTCATCGTTAAGCTGTGTCGTACCGATTCCGAAAGCCGCGGAACGAATCCAATGGCTGCGCGAGTAGTCCGAAATCGAGCGCCGTTGCGAAAACCAACGCTGAGCCAGAACGTATCCAAAGGCAAGAGCGAGCAAGGAATCACGCGCCAGTCACACCATGAGTAATTATTATTACGATATTATTGAAATATAATTAGACATTATTAAATATTCAAGAAATCAAATGTGCCATTTAAGGCATGGCTTCGCCGCGTGTCAGGCGAGTTGCTCCAGCAGTTGCACCAGGAGTTGCCTCTCCGGCAACTCGATCGAGTTGCCGCAACTTTGCCACCTGTGTTAGTGCAGTTATTAACAGTATTGATACAGTATTGAAACTCTGAGGGGTCAGTAGGTAGGTTTCGATACCAGCATGTGATCATAACCACGAGACTGTGCGTCGGCGCTGAGGCAAGCGGTGAGTCGCGGGACAAAGGCGGGATCAGGAGGCGCCGTTGCGCCACATCACGTGCAGGTATTGAAACCGGTTTCAAAACTAAAGCCTCGTTTACTGTGCCACGGTCCACCCTAATTTCTAAAATGTTAGTGGCAAAACTCGACCGAGGTCTGACGAGTTACGACTAGGGTAGTGGAAACAACCTAGGTTACAGTACCAAGAGGTTGTTTCCCGGTAAATAACCGGTTATTTACCGGTTCGCAACCTAAGGCTGTTGGAGGTAGCTCATTTACCTGCACGTGACATAGCCACGTGATGTATGGTGCACAGAAAAAGGTAGTATGCACTATATTTAGAGGCAAGCAAAGTTACTACTGTAGACTTTCATTCAATTCGTCGGGCCATGTGACCTGTGACCGGTCTGACGAAATTATGGTTTCGACGAATTACCATATATGGTAATTCCCGCCGTGGCGGAGGTGCGTCGGGAGGCTGGCGGGGGCCCCGCCGACGATTTTTTTGGGATTTTCGCTGTGACCACTGTGACTTTTCGTCGATTTCGGATCCTTTGTGACCCGTGACCGACGAATTGAATTAAAGTGTACAGTATTGCCATTAAAATCTATCTGACTCTGATGGGTCCAAGGAAGTGTGACATCTGGAGGCGAAAGACTGAAAACACTTGACCGCTGCTGCCCCCGCGAAGATGTCACGTGAAAATATCACATGCAGGTAAATAACTGTTTTTAACCCAAGGGGATTCCAAAACTGTAATCCACTACGCCGACTATGTGCAAGTTGATGGCAGGACCCCGAGAACTTGACCCACCCACCACCACCTACTTATGGTAATGCGTACCTGATTCCGCTGGACCACGAAGGATAGCCGATGTCACACATATAAAATGGTTTCTAATATATTCTAAGGAATAACAGAAAAGATCAGCGTGTAGCAATGAATGAGGATTCCTTGACGAGGGTCGAACTCGTAATTCTCGATCATGTGAAATTTATTCATACGGCCACATGTATCGAGCGTGTTGACCATTACACTACAAGGCCTGTACGATTAGGGTATGCAGGCTCAAAAATAAAATTCTGGGTTGACCACGTATTAGCTCTCGTAAGAATCGAACTTACGACCTCCTCTGCTTCAGCCCACGCGTAAAGCTGAAACGCAGGTATGCACATTACACCAAAGAGCTATGACTACTAGGAAATTCCTTATGCTGAATGAGCTAGTTATTATGCTATAGTATCAAAAATAATCGAAAGGAATGGGCGAGCAACTCTCATAGGACTCGAACCTATAACCTCCCTCACATCAATATTAAATCAAGGTTTGGATGTGCCCGCTACACTAGAGAGCCATAACCACTGTGCATCGACGGTCTTCGAACTCAGGCTCAGTCTTGTTAAAAAGTCGTCGGGCACGTGTGTATAGCTCTCATAGGATTCGAACCTATGACCTCCCTCACATCGATATTAAATATAGAGTCGAGGTTTGGGATATGCCCACTACACCAGAGAGCCGTAATTAGCATAGATTCTTTCATGTGAATGCTGCAGACTGTGTCATCGACTGTGCAACTGTGCCATCAACTGTGCAGACTGTGCCATCGACTGTGCAACTGTGCCATCGACTGTGCGACTATGCCATCGACTGTGCGACTGTGCCATCGACTGTGCGGACTGTGCCATCGACTGTGCAGACTGTGCCATCGACTGTGCAGAAGAAATTTCCCCTTATAGAAGTAGGTAGAATTTAGTATATAAAGGCGAGCTGCCGCAGCATGTCAATAAGAATCCCCCAGTTGAAAACACTGTCTTGAGTGAACCTTAAGTAAGCATAAGCTTAGATAATCAGCTTCTTCTTCTAGTCAAACTAGAATACTCGACTAACAACGACTTGATCAGATAGCTCTGTCCGATACAGAGTTGACTTCAGAATACGCAGACTGAATACGCAGATTGAATACGCAGACTAGACACGCAGACCGAATTCGAGACCGAACACGAGACCGAACACGAAGACCGAATCCGAGACCGAATCCGAGACCGAATCCGAGACCGAATACGCAGACACAAGAACGCTTGTGTCATTAACTAAAGTGAGACCGACAACTCACTCTTACAGAATATACATAGACAGCTCGCGATAGGGTCAGGCCTACCTAGCTCACTGACAGATTAGACTCGAACTAAGCACGCAGATATAGGAACGCCTGTATCATTAACTGAAGTGAGACCGATTGCTCACTCCCACGGCACGTACAGAAATAGCTTGCGATAGGACCAGGCCTACCTAGCTCTACTTAGAAATCACTACGCTCGACAGAAGTATCGACAAGTATTAGATATTAAGCCCCGAACAAACAGACTAGCTCGTTCTATAAAAAGTTCCAGCGACCTCTGTGCTAGGAAATTTACTTTTAAATTTTCTAGTGTGATAAATTGGAGCCCACCGCGAGGGGAAAAATAATATCTTCAATACTCTTAGATACCAACGATAAGAACTGACATAAATGTCTCAGGAGACATCTAATACAGAGGACTTTACACATCTTAATACTGGGACCTCTTTTATCTTTCCGACCAATTTGGAACCACGAACAATTCAAACCTCGCTAATCGATACAACAGACGACGGGGATATCAGTCCCTTTAGCAATACACCACTTAGTGTCCTCAGTCCAATTCAGAATACTACGCCAAGTATCAGCAATATGACTACTACTTTCGGAAGTCGGACACCAGATATGCTACCTCCACTCGGGAGTAAGTCAGCACCTACTAAGTTCTCGGGAAATTACGAAGATGTCAAGACATTTTTACGCAGATATGAACGACTATGTAATGCATATAATGTTCGAGAAGCAGAGAAGTGCGAACGAATAATTGACTACTGTTCTCGTCCAGTAATACGCTTAATCGAATCACTACAAAGCTACAGAGCTAGCAGCTGGACTCAGCTCTATCATGACTTACTTGAATACTACGATGCAGATCTAAAAGAAACTAGATATAATGTCCGGGATATTCGCAAACTTGCTCGAAAATGGTATAAAAAGAAAATTCCCAATCTTCGCACTTGGAAGAAGTATCAACGGGAGTTCATTACTATAAGCGGATGGCTAGTCTCTAAACTGAAGCTTACTAAGGATGAAGAAGCAGTCTATTTTTGGCATGGAATCAATAAGGCCTTGCGTAGGAGAATTGAAGGAACATATACAGCTCGTAACCCTAATATTGATCTTACACAAGCCTTTCCCATTGATGCTATTAACAAAATTGCCCAGGTCATTTTCACACGAAATCGCTTCGATACTAATCTTGTAGACTCAGACGATGAGTCTGATATCGAACGAGATGAATACATTTCAGATTCCTCTTCTGGAGCTTCAGATTCGACCAACTCTGATTCAGAAGATGAATCTGATAGCAGCACAGAGGATACAAAGAAGAAGCACCATAAGACAATAAAGAAGAAGAGGTTTACTAAAAAGGCATCAGATAGAGGAAAACGAGTAGAGAAGAAAGACTTAAAGCTCGATAAGAAATTAGCACAGATTGCTCAAGTTGCTAAGAAAGAGGAAGTAAGGCGTTTAGAGGAGAAAGCTACAGAAACTTCAGAAATAGCTGACCTTATTTCCCATATGAGTCGCATGTCGATCAATGACCCCAGTTATGCTGTCATGTACTATCAAGCCATTAAAAAGGATCCTATTTGTAAAGACGTCATTCGACGTCCTCAGATCAATCCTCCTCTCCCAACAGATAGACTGCCATTCCTAGACCTGGGCACGAGTGCCGGGTGTTTGCGAGTACTCGCGGGTGCACCCGGCACTCACACCCGGGTGCCGAGTGTTTGTTGAACTCGGGTGGGGTGTCACCACGGGTGTCTACCCGAGTGCGGGTGTCTGCCTCCGGGCCACGAGTACCCGGCGGCAGACACCCGGGTGGACACTCGCATTTTTACTAATTTTTTTGAATTTTATTTTATTTATTTGAGGCCAAAAACTCGTCACAAAGACGTGTTCTCGCGATCCGGCGGACCGGGCCGAGATCCGAGAAGGACACGCAAGCATCTGATCGGGCCGTCTCTTGACTCTCTCTCTTCCCACCACCGTCGCTCGACTTTACGTCGGCGACGATGGCAGCGTCACTCGACTTTTAAGTCGGTGATTTTGCCCCTATGCTCGACTCTGCGTCGGCACATCGATAGGCCAGGAGACGACTTTGTGTCGTCTCCACGGAAACGGCCAGTGCAGGACGCGTAAGCCCCTGCAAAAGGGCAGCAGACACTTCGTGACACCACCCGCCGCGCTCAACAGCGCGCTTGAAGAGCGGGGGCGGTGGATTTTGGGCCGCCGCATCATCTGCTGGTGACGTGGCGGGTTGGTACGTATCTTTTTGCGTTATTCTGCGTTTTTGGCGGCGTTGACAGACGCCGTCAAGATCCCATCCTCCCATCCTCCATCTCCTCACCTCTGTATCACCGATGCCGCATCAT